AAGAGACACGAACCGCACACGTCCGAATCGGAGCCCCCGGGGAACGCGGGCGACAGCACGGCCCGGATAAGCAAGGCGGCGTGCCCTGCCCACGCCAATGGTGACGACAAGCATGTGGAGTACAACCCCGGACTCAGCGCAATGGTGGCCATAACCGTGACGGATGTGATCGGCATCGGGAAATGAGCATGGCAAAGTAGAGCGGTACCACAGGCGCCAGGAAGGGCACGCTGAAAGGGATCCCCGTGTATAGCTGCCCCGAACACGAGTAACTTCAAGGGCGCCGAGAGCGCGCAGGAGGCCGCCATCACCAGGACTGAGTGGATCGCGCTGGGAATCGTCTGCCCGAGGACGGCGTGAAGATACTCGGCCAAGAATGCGTTGGCTGACGCCGAGGGGGCCCAGCCCATGGCGTCGATGAGCAGGCCTGGCAGGGGACGCGCGCATATGTACGCAACGTCGAGCGTGCTCGACATCACTGGCCACACCATGCAGAGGATCCTGATCATCGGGGCCGCGACCGCTGCTGGCGCCTGCGGCCACACCGCCTGGGGCATGCCGCCACCAAAGGAGCTAGACGATGTGCTGGTAGCTCCAGAGGCGCTCGCGGCGCAGCTGCGGACGTGGGAGTGGAAGTGCAACTCCGCTGGCGAGGTGCGCACCGCCGCTTGGCCAGTAGGAGCGGCCACGGCGCGGGTGCCAAGGCGAAGGATGGCGGGCGCGATCAAGTTGAAGCCGTTCGAAGCGCTGGTCCTGGTCGCAGTCAGGTTGAAGGCCGCCGTGGCGTTGGTCCTGACAGACGGGGCGAAGACGCAGTCCTGTTGCGGAGAACCTCCGAGGCCCCCGAAACACGGAAGCAGGCGGGCACATAAAAAACAGGGGTAGAAACGGATGGGGCGATTAGGGGCAGAGTGGTAGGAAGGACAGGAGGAGGAGGAGGATGAGGAGGAGGAAGAGGAGGAGGAGGAGGAGGAGGAGAGGGAGGGGAAGGAAAAGGAGGATGGCGTCGGGGTGGGAGTGGCCACCAAGAACCCGTGGAGGAGGCAGGAAGGGTGGACGAAAGGGATCCTGACCCGAAATGCATTTGGACCGCCCCTCGAGTCCACGAGCGTGGACGCGACGCGTCAGCCGCGCGCGCAGCCACCGCACCGGGATCACCGGAGGGGCAGGCGGACTCCTCAGGCGGGAAAGCCCTAGAGGGAGAACAAAGATACCCGCGACCGTACCCCGCGATCCAGCGATGCTGGCGCGGGAAGGGGCGAGACGGAAGCTGGGGAGGAGAGAACGGGCAGGGAGGACAGGGGGAGGAGAAGGAGGAGGGCGTCGGGGTAGGAGTGGCCACCAGGAACCCGTGGAGGAAGCACGGAGGGTGGACGAACATAGGCCCTGGGAATCCTGACCCGCAATTTATTCGGACCATCCCCTGCGTCCACGAACGCGCACGAGATGGGCCAGCCGCGCGCGCAGCCCCAGCACCGGGATCAGCAGAGGCGCCCCAGCAACCCACAGGACCACCAGGCTCGGCGCACTCCTGGTTGCGGCTGCACGTCAGGACCGCGATGAACTCCACCGGGCTGGGCCACGGGACTCCCAGAGTCAGCGTACTGCTCGCGGGGATGGGCTGCCGCGCCAGCGCAATGGGTAGGTCGTCGGAGGCGGGAAGGGGTCGGGCGGGCGATCTGGACAGGGCGTTAGGTATGGCGTCGGGTTGGTCCGGGGCGTCGGATCGGGAATCTGGCTGGGGTGGGGCGTCTGGGGTCGTGGGGGTCGTCGGAGGTGCGCGCAAGCAGGCAAGCAAAAAGACGAGTGGCGCGGAAGGCAGGGGGGGAAGAGAGTCTGCTCAGCGAATTCGGAGGGAGATGAGGCTGGAGGCAAAGAGAAGCGCTGTATCTGCGGGACTTGAAGGCGCCGCGTCGTGACCACAACCGGCTCCGAGATCCCCAAATTCACAAACGAAGCGGGATATTGCGGAGAAGAGCAAGACACACGAGGAGTAGGAGGAGGCTCATGGCAAAACTGGATAAAATAATTATCATGAACGTTCGTAGCAGCCAGCGCCCCATCGCTGGTTGCGTCCCCGAAAATATGACTGGCACGGGGGAGAGCTGAGGAGAGGAAGGTGGGACTGGCGAGCGCAGAAACCAAGATGCAAGCAAGAAGCGCCGCGCCCGTCAGTTTGTCCTTGTCCTTGAGCGTATTCTTCTGCTCGTCGTGGCAGTCGGGCGCGAAAGTGCTCGTGAATGCGGCGGTATAGTCTGTGCACTCGCCCTTGGGCGTGATGAGATCGTCCTGGCACCAATACGTGGGCTCACCCATGTCCCGCCGCTGGCGCAGGCCATAGACCTGGCGCGTCTCAGAGGTTTGCCCCTCGTTCGTGTGTGTGTGTGTGCGTGCCTCTCGATGTCGTCGCCAACGGAGTTCGCGGGCCAGATGCCGACAACCTCCAGGTCCTGCGGGATGTTCTCCTGGAGGATCCTGTCGAGCATCCTCTCAGCCTCACTGCGCTCGTCCTTGAAGATGGCGAGGTGCCCGCGAGCACATGCCGTCCGCCACGTTGCTCGAGACGCCGACGGCGGCTGCCAGGGCGCGCCAGCCAGCAGACAGGCGCCCAGCGCGGCGACCGCCGCAGCGGCGCGGCGTCCCTGCCACACGCCGCAGGCGCGGCGCGGCTGGCGCCCGGCCAGCGCCCCCCTTGGGGGGGCCAGCATCGCGGCGCCCACTTGCCCGCCAGAGGTAAGGAGGGGAAGAGGCCGGGAAGGGGGCGGCGAGCGCCGGGGGCGCGCCGGGTGGTTCTGCCGTTCCTCCTCCTCCTCCAGCCCCGCCTCCTTTTCCTGCACGAGGTCGTTACCCTGGCCATCCCTCCTACTCCTCCTCCTCCTCCTCCTCCTCCTCCTCCTCCTCCTCCTCCTCCTAATCCTCCTCCTCCTCCTCCTCCTCCTCCTCCCAATGCTCTTCCTCCTCGTCCCACCCCTTCTCCTCCTTCTCCTCCTCCTCCTCGTTCCCATCCTCCTCCTCCACCTCCTTTTCCTTGCGCAAGCTGGAGGCATGTGTGAAGCAGGCCGATGAGGAGGACATTGTGTAAAAGGGGCGGATATAAAACAGGGTGGCGAGGTGGCGTGGAGCCGAACAAGGGCCGCAGCTGATCCTGCTCACCTCCCTCCTCCTCCTCCTCCTCCTCCTCCTCCTCCTCGTCCTCGTCCTCCCCATCCTCCTCCTCCTGCTCCTGCTCCTTCGCCTCCTCCACTTCCTCCTCCTCCTCCTCGCACGCGTCCGCCTCGCCCTCGTCCTCGCACTCGCCGCCACCGTCCCGGCGGCCACCCTGGCAGCCGCCCCGGCGGTCCCGGCGCGCCGCGGCACCGCCGCGCCCGCCGGGCGGCGCGCCCTGGGAAAGCGCCTCGGCGCGGGCAGTCGTCGTCGTCGTCGTCGTCGTCGTCGTCGGCGGCGGCGGCGGCGGCGTCGTCGCGGTGGTCGTCGTCGTCGTCGTGGTCGTGGTCGTGGACGTCGTCGTTGTCGTAATCGTCGTGGTCGTCGTCGTCGTCGTGGTGGTGTTCGTCGTCTTCGTCGTCGGCGTCGGCGGCGTGGTCGTCTTCGTCGTCGGCGGTGGCGGCGTTGTCGTGGACGTCGTCGACGACGTCGACTTCGTCAACATCGTCGTTGTGGTCGCCGTGGTCGTCGCCGTGGTTGGTATAGTCGTGCTCGTTGACGTTGGTCTCCGCGGGAAGAGGGGGGGGGCAGGGACAGAGGGAGGGGGAGAGAGGGAGAGAGAAGGAGAGAGAGAGAGACAGAGAGAAAGCGGGCGTGGCGGGCTGGGAGAGGAAGGGGGGAAGAGGAGGCGGGGGATGGGGAGGAGTGGGAGGATGCGCAAGGTCGCTGGCGAGAGGGAGATGGACCCGTGAAACGAGATATTGTCGAGGAGGAGGGGAGAGATGAGGATGCAGGGAATACCGTAGGGAATGAACAGCGAGACAACGACGAGGAGGTCGCGGATGAGGACGGGGAGCGAGCTGAGAGGAGACGACGGGGATAATGAGAGGAAGCAGACGACGACGACAAGGACAAGGAGGCGGAGGGCGAGAGCAGGTGAAGGGAGAGAAGGGGAGGATGACGACGACGGCGATGACAACGACGGCAGAGCAGGGGAGGGCAGGATGACGACGAAGAACACGACTAGAGGGAGGATGAGAAGGAGCAGGAGGAGGAGGAGGAGGGGAGGAGGGTGGGAATCGGTGGAGCAGCAAAAGCAGGGGCACTGCAAGAGAGAGGAATGGGGAAGATACGAGGACCGGGGCGAGGAGGCGGACATGCAACATGGGGAAGGGAGGAAGGGAGGCAGAGGACGAGCACGACAACAATGACAAGGGCGCGGAAGACACCGCAACGACGACGACGGCGGAGGACACCGTGACGGCGAGGACGACGACAGCCGCGGCGATGACCACGACCACGACGCTTGTCATGAAGAAGGCGGGTCCCGGTGCAAGCGGATCTCCGGGGACCCCATCCATCATCCCGATCCCTTTTTTGACGGCCCCAGGGCCGAGGGAATCGCCAGCCATAGACCGAGAACGACAAGAACCTAGGACCCCTCTCCCTCAGGACCCCTTCCCCTCGCGACGACGCAACGACGACGACGACGATCACGACCACGACGGCGACGGCGATGACCACGACGACCACGACGACGAGACCACGACGGCGACGACGATGACCACGCCGACCACGACGATAACGACTAGCCGCGACGGCCACGACCAAGACCACATCGCAGACGACCACGACAACCAGGCCGACGACGACGACCACGCCAACGACAACGACAGCGACGACGACGACGATGACTGGCCGCGACGACCACGATCACGACGACGACGACCACTGCGCCGACGACGACGACGACGACGACGACCACGCCGACGCCAAACGACGACCAAGACGAAAACCACGACGACGACAACGACGACGTACAGAGCGGGCGGCGGCCTCCACTGACGCCTGCGGCATCAGCCAGAGCGCCGCCTGCGACGCGAGGCGCAGGACCAGCAAGAAGTCCTCGCGGGCGGCGCGGCCGAAAACGCCGCCAGCCGCCGCCGCGGCCGTGGCCGTGGCTGCCGCCGCGGACATCGTCGACATAGGCGGCGCCGCCTCGGTCGTCGTCGATGTGGCCATGGCCTTGATCCTCGTCGCCATGCGTGTCGCGGGCGCCACCACAGCCAATCACCACCCACCGCCGTCGATCCTCGATCTCCGATCCTCGAGCCCCGAGCTTCGAGGGTCGAGGATCTAAGTCTGATTCGTTGTGCCAGTCAGTTGTGTCCCGCTCAATATTCTGGCAAGAGCGCGCCCAAGGAGAGGTCGGCGAACGCCGCCGCCGCGGCCATGGCCGCCGCCGTCGACGTCGTCGACGTCGCCGCCGCCATCGTCGTGGCCGTGGCCTTGGTCGCCGGCGCCGAACAATCGCACGGATGGAGGGAAGTACCTTTCCAACGAGTGTCTTTTGCCTTGGCGCCGCGCACATTCGCGTACAGCTACAAGGAATGGGCCAGTGTGCGTGTGTGTGTGTGTTCGAAACGTCGTTCTCACATGAGCGCCGCGCACATTCGGGGAAAAATCGTACGAATACGCGGATGGATGCACGTTCGTTTTCGAAATGGGGGTCTCGCCTGAGGCGTCATCCAAGCATTCTACCGTTTGTGTAAGACTATGCAGCAGCTCCGCGGATCGGGAACGGCTCCTGTTCAAAATGGGGGCTGTAGCCTGAGACGTCGCTTGATACTGTGGGCAGAAATCCGCGGACAGCTCGGCCTGCGTGAAACGCTTTTTGCTTTGGGTCGTTATCACCGTCGGCAATCCAGGAAAAATTGAGGAAGCAGGGAAAGGTTCGTCGTAGCCGAGTAGATTCCATTCCCATGATCTCTCCCCGCCTAGGGGGCGGGTTCTGGGGGGGGGCTGCTGGGGGGGGGGTCCCCCGATCAGAATACCGCCACCCTGCCCCGGGATCCTGGCGGGTCCAGGAGGGATGGTCGCCAGCGGGGGTCCAGGGGGGGATCCCACCTTCAGGGTCGGCGGCACTGTCCACAAGGCCTTCGCAATCCAGATCTGTGCAACACTTGCACGAATGGAAGGCGGTTCCTTGTCAACTAAACCAAAAAAAAAAGTCCTTCTAGCTCGAAACATGGAAGCGGTTTCTTTCAAACGGAGCTCCCACCGGTCTTTCAAAGGGAGCGCTTCGCGAACACGGAACCGCAATTTTTTTGTCCTAGCTCTGTCGCCTCAGCCATCGCAGGCTACATTCGTCTTACAAGTTCGCAATAGCTTCAAGAATGGAGGGCGGGCCCTTTCTGAATGTGGCTCTCACCTCGGCGCCGCGCACAGTCGTCTGAAAAGATCGCAGTCGCTTCCAGAATGGAGGGCGGGCGATGTCCAAAATGTGGTTCTCGCCTCATCGCCGCGCGCATTTTACTCAGTAGCAACAGTTTGAGGGATGGAGGGTGGCTCCTATTCTATGTGGCTCTCGCCTTAGCGCCGCGCGCATTCGTCCTCAAAGTTATCAGACATTTCAAGGATTCGCATTGTTGAAATATAAAGAATGGTGGGCGACCGAAGGGTTGCCAGGACGTACCAATCATGTTGATGCGCGGTGCTGAAATACTGGGAATGGTCTTCTGGAACATATTGGAATTGTCAGGACGTAAGAAATATGTTGGTTCGGGGTGTTAAAATCGCGAGAACGGAGTTCTGGTCCGATTGCAGATTATCAGAAGGTTGTCTTCTGATGGGACATGTTCCGCAACGGCGGAACCTACCGTAGGGACAAGAGGGACTTCGAGGGAGGACCTTATGCAACACCGTTGATGCGTCTTGGGTTTACACTGGTCCTCCTCCTCCTCTTCCTATCCCTGCTCCTCTGTCTATTCGTCTTCCTCCTCCTCCTCCTCCTCCTCCTCCTCCTCCTCCTCCTTCCGTAACCATTTGGGCTCAAGCTGCTTCGCGCGCGCGCCGTCGTCGGCAGTTCGAGGGCGGATGGCCGCTGGGCCGCAAACGGCGACGGCTGGCTGCAGGGCTGCCTGTGCGGCAGCGGAAGAGCTTGGCGCTGGTGGAACTACTCGAGTCTCTCTCTGGCCAGTCCTCCGCGAGCGGAGGGAGGCGGCTCGCCAGGCGGCCGCCCTGAGCCGCGTCGTGGCGCTGAAGGCCAGGTGCAGACGCTCGAGTTGCAGCTCGACGGCGAGCGCGCGCGGCACGCAGCGGCTGCGGCGCAGGCGGTGGCTCGGGCCGCAAGGCAGGGCAATATCGCGGCCTGCTTGGCCCGCTGGTGGCCCGCTTGGCCCTGGCGGCGCCGGTACTGGAAGGCGTGACGGCGGGGGAGCCCGAGCACCAGGCGCCCGTTCGGCAGATTCAGCGCGCCAGGCTCAGCGCGGGGCTGCACTGCGCTGCGCGCCGTGGTGCGAGCATCGCTCGCATCCGCCAGCCCGCCCTCAACCGCCTCCAGCGGCATGCGGCGGCGGAGGCGACGGCAGGTGCTCGGGCGAGGGCGTGCGTGGCCGCGGCGAGGCGCAGCACCAGCAGGACCAGGCGGTGCCGCCGTGCGTCTGCGCTGCCGCCGGGCCGTCGGCAGCCTGCGGTACGGTCGGCGGCCGAGGCTACGCCGCTCGAGTGGGCGGAGGTGGGGCCTCGTGGGCGTCGGGTGGCGGGCAGTGCGCCGCCTGCAGCTGGCGTTCGATTTCGCCTGGCAGAGAGCGTGAGCAGCGCGGGGGGTCCGCAGGCGTCGCCCCCTCTGGCGTCGGTGGCCCGCTGGTGGTGCGAGGAGTGTTTGAAAGCGTGTTCGCCTGCTGGCTCGGCTGGCCGTGCCGGCGCTGGCGCTGGCGCTGGCGCTGGCGACAGGGAGGCGTCGTCAGACGCGTCGCCCACGGCCAGTCCGACGTCGTGCCCCACGTCGCGCCCTTCACCGCCCTGCCCAGCGGGGTGCCGGAAGTGCTGCAGTTCCACCAGCGGCTCGGACGGCGGCCCGAAGGAGTAGGACAACGTCAAGGAGGGGGAACCCGAGGTGGAGCGCGACGCGGAGCAGGCCAAGGAGGAGATGCTTGGGAAGGTCGTAGCCGTGCCCGAGGTCCAAGTGCAGGTGATGCACCACGTGGAGACCGCCGGGGCCGTCGGCAAGGTGCAGCTCAAGGTGCTAGGGTGGCACATGGCGACGAGCTGCGACGACTCCGATCTCGACGCAGACCGAGACCTTCGGAGACCAGGCTGGCGCATGGAGGAGGAGGAGGCGGACAGTCCGACGCCCGCCACGACCGCCGAGCGCCGAGCGGGTCTGGCCTGGCTTCGTGGCGTCCGCGAGGCCCGTCCAGCCACGAGTGAGACGCGGATCAATCGCGAGGTCGACGAGCAGGGGGCTGGGTCCCGAAAAGAGCCTTGGACCGCTCCCGTCGGTGCCACGTGTCGCCGATGACCGCACCCTCTGAGTGCCCAGTGAGGTAGGTGCCAGGCTGCAGCCAGCGTGATAGTGCAAGGGGCTCTGGACGTGGGCGTGCCAGGCATCAGGCAGTCAGGCAGTGCGCAAGATGCGTGTTGTATCATTATCTCGGCGCTCCTCGGGGCTAATCGGCCCATCCCCCGATTCTAGCCATCGGCAAACATGAGACGAGAGATGGGCGGCGCACGTTGGGGGTCCTTCGCTTTTGGCCCGAATGATCTCCTCAGGCAAGAAGCGGGCTCGAAGCTAGGTTGATCGGCCTCGCGAAGCGACACCCGCCCGCTTGGTAGGATAAAGACGCTGTGTTTTTGTTTTCCCTCGGGGGGAGGGCCTGTCTTGGCCCCCTGGCTAGTCTTCGGCCTCCAGCCAGGGTGACACAAAGTTCCTCTCGGAGGGGCCCCCCCAGGGGTGTTGTTGCAGGACCGTCGGGCCCTCTCTCTCTATCCCTCAGCGGCGTGCGATCATCCACCACCTCCTCCTCCTCCTCCTCCCCCTACTCCTCCTCCTCCTCCTCCTCCTCCTCCTCCTCCTCCTCCTCCTCCTCCTCTTCCTCCTCCTCCTCCTCTTCCTCCTCCTCCTCCTCCTCCTCCTCCTCCTCCTCCTCCTCCTCCTCCACCTCCTCCTCCTCTCACCACTACTATTATCACTCTGCTGCTCCCCCTCCCCTTCCCCATTTCCCTCGGTGGATCCGCCACGTCCCCAGGCCCACCCAGGAGCGGAGCACACGCTGGCCCTGGGCCCACGGCCGCGGTGCGGGTGGACACGCGGCCACCGCCGCCGTTGCCCGCTGTCGTCCGTCGTCGACCGTCGTTGTCGTTGGCGCCCGTCGTCGGCGTCCTCCGTCATCGACCGTCGTCGTCGCCCGACGTCGTCGCTCGTCGTCGACATCGTGTTCGTCGTAGTCGTCGTCGTCGTCGTCGTCCTGGTCGTCGTCGTCGTCGTCGTCGCCCGTCGACGTCGTCACCGTCGTCGTCGCCGTCCTCGTCGTCCTCGTCGTCGTCTTCGGCGTCGCAAGTCGTCGTCGTCTTTGTGAGCGCCGTCGGCGCCCCCGAAGGACCGCGCCGGCGCGCACCGCGTCCTGGAACTGGCGCCGCAACGAGTCGCTCAGGTGGCGGTGCTGCCGCATCCTCGCGCGCGCGCGCTCGCGTGCGTCGTCCGTCAAGGCACTCCGAGCACTTGCGTAAGTCAGGGCTACAGGGGGCATCAATGAACGGGGGCTCAGGCGTTTTCACGCGCCCCCGCCTGCGATGCCCCCGTCTACGACGCTCAGTCCCACGAAACGAGGGTGGGGGCCAGGCCAAACATGGAAATCGGTGTTCCCCGTGCCCCCGTTTTCTCTGGCGCCCTGAGCAAGCGGCCCGGCGAGTCCGCCCCTGGTCCCCCCAATCTGTCCCAGCTCTTCGAGCTGCGCGACTTGTCCTTCGGTGAAGCGAGGCCCTTGATAGCCCTCATCCCAGCCTGCGCCGGGTGGAGGGGCAGAGAGCCAAGAGGTACGCAACGGGAGAAGGGGGGACGACCGAACGGACCCGAATACAGCTTTTGTTCTGCCATCAACGGCACCTCAAACCTCGCTGCAGAAGGAGGCTACGTAAAACTGCAGCGGACAAAACTGAAATTACCCTTGGAACATAAGTTTCACAAGGTCCAGGTCGAGCACCACACAAGCGTTGTCTGGGTGCTTCCCCTGCCACATTGTTCCAGCTCCTGTCGGATGGAGAGGGGCGGGCCGGAGAGGGGGAGATGGAGGGGAAGGGGTGATGAGGGGGGGATGGAGGACGGATATTGGATGGAGAGTGGCGGGCCAGCCGGAGGGGGAGGCGGGGGAAGGGGGGGGGAGAACAGCACAGGCCACTCTCGACCTGCGAGCCTGGCATCCGCCAGCCCTCAGGACAGGGCCCCAGGCATGGCAGGCTCTCCATCCCCGCTTCCTCCTCTCGTGCCCCTGCTCCAACTCCCTTCCTCCCTCCCTCCCTCCCTCCCTCCTCTCCTGCCTCACTCCGTCCTCCTCCCTCCCTCCTCCTCCTTCCCCCACTCTGCCTCCTCCCTCCCTCCCTCCCTCCCACTCTCTCCCTGATCTGTTGACACCGAAACCACCTACAGCCAGAGCCTTGTCATGAGGAACAGTGGATAAGGAACGAAGCCTGGGGTTACGCCTACAATTACTGGAGGCCTGCTAGATGAGGTCGGAGTAGATGCGCTCGGAAGATCGCGCCGCATCGCCGACATATCGCCGACGCATCGGCAATGCATCGGCGACGTATCGGCGACGTATCGGCGACGTCTGCGTGGAAGAGAAGATCGGGCTCCGCATCGAGCCGCATCGCCGATGCATCGGGGACACGGCGCGATCCTGATCTACTCGGACCCCATCTGTCGACACCGAAATCCCCAACAGCAGAGCCCTATCATCAGGAGCCCTGGATAAGGAACGAAACCTACGGTTACGCCTACGGATAATCACGCAGCCGCCGGGAGCTGGGCGGTGGCTTCTGACACCGCGTGCATCGTTCAACCTGGAACGTTCGTGGCTTTCCGGTCGCGCAAGATTCAATTTCGGAAAACTCCGGACCACCGGCGGCGTTCCACCGACACGCACCGGGTGGTGCCAGAGGTGTCCCTGGCGCCCCCCCAGGATCACCAAGGAGGCCCACCCAGCCTCCAAAGCACCCATCACGAGGCCCAGAGGGTCTCAGGGGCTCCAAAATGGAGCGAAAGGCGGGGGACATCTTGGGCCAGGGCCACCGTGAGCAACCCCCGAACGAGCCTAAAGGAGAAGAAAACGTGGAAAGACCTACGGCAGGTTCGTGTCGTGCCGATCACGACGTTGGTTCCTGCACCGCGGGTATCGTTCAACCTTTAACGATCGGCCGTCTCCAAGACGTCAGATCGTTCAACATCGACCGATTCTGGGTCGCTGACGGCGCCCAACGTTCAAACGCTGGCGTCGGGGTCCCTGCTGGTCGACACGACGCGAACCTACCGTATACGGAACACCGCGCCCCTCTCGAAAACGGAGTCCCGACTGCACCCTACCCTCCTCGTCCTCCGGGCCGAGCCGGGGACGCCAGCCTGCGAGCGAGGGCGCCCGAGGCGACTGCGGAGACGTCATCCGGCGACCGTGACGGGTTGGCCGACCGACCAGACCGCGGCGGCGACGGCGACGATGGCGACCACGACGGCGACGACTCCGACGGTGACGAATACGACGGCGACGGCTGCGGCGGCAAAGACGGCGACTACGACGACGGCGACGCGGGCGGCGGCGACGAGGGTGACGGCGGCGGCGAGGGGGGGTGGGGCGAGCGCCGCCGCTGCGCCGCTGTCCTTAGGAGCGAGGCCATGGCCGCGGCCTCGCGGGCGGCCGATGGCACAGAGGGGGGAGGGAAGGGGAGCTACTCCCTCATCGTACTTCTTGCCCTCCGCCTCCTCCACCTCGTACCTCCTCATCCCTCCCCCTCCTTCTGAGTACTCCTACCTCCCTCCTCCCTCCAGCCCTCATCACCCTTCCTCATGCGCCCATCCCTCCCCCCCCTTTTTGACTCCTCACTCCTTCCTCCTCCTCCTCCTCCTCCTCCTCCTCCTCCTCCTCCTCCTCCTCCTCCTCCTCCTCCTCCTCCTCCTCCTGCTCCTCCCTCTCCTCCTCCGCCTCCTCCTCCGTCTTCGCCTTTGCAGCCTTGCCCTCCGTATCCCTCTTCCTCGACCTCCTCCCCCGTCCTCCTCCCTCCTCCTCTTACTCCCCCTTCCTGCAAATCCCTCCCGCACCATCACCAACATCACCACAATCACCATCACCATCACCACCACCACAAACACCAATCACACAACCATCATCATCCTCCTCCTCCTCCTCCTCCTCCTCCTCATCATCATCATCATCATCATCAGCATCATCATCATCATCATCATCAGCATCATCATCATCATCATCATCATCATCATCATCATCATCATCATCACCAGCATCATCATCGTCATCATCAGCATCATCATCAGCATCATCATCATCGCCACCACTATCACCATCAACATCACCATCAACATCACCATCACCATCACCATCATCATCAGCAGCATCAGCGGCGGCAGATTCGGCATCACCATCAGCATCATCAGCATCATGCTCATCATCATCATCATCATCATCCTCATCATCATCATCATCATCATCATCATGGTCATCATCATCATCATCATCAGCATCATAACCAGCAGCATCATCATCGTCATCATCATCGTCATCATCATCATTAGCATGATCATCCTCATCAGCATCATTATCAGCACCATCGTCAACCAATTCAGTGACATCATCACCACCAACATCATCAGCATCACCACAATCACAAACAAAAAAAACATCAACAACATCGTCGCCGTCACCATCGTCGCCGTCGTCGCCGTCGCCGTCATCATCAGCGACATCACCAGCAACATCATCAGCACCGTTATACACATCATCCTCATCACCACCAACACAACCATCACCATCATCATCAGTATCATCATCACCATCATCGCCATCAGCAACGATAGCACCATCATCACTATCATCGTGATCACTATCGTCATCGTAAACCTGGTCATCATCATCGTCGTCAGGAGCATCATCGTCATCAGCATCATCATCATCAGCATAATCATCATGAGTATCATCATCATCACGATCCTTATCGTCATCGTCATCATCGTCATCATCGCCACCGCCACCATCACCGGGAGCAGCAGCAGCATCGTGTTCGTCGTCGTCGGCATCATCATCAACATCATCCTCTGATAGGAGGAGTGGGTAGCGAGCAGGCTTGGAACGCAAGGGGAAGGGGAAGAGCGAGGGACGAGAGGGAAGGGCAGGAAACAGGTTGGTTAGCGACGGCGGCAGAGGACCACTCGACGTCTGAGCCCATTCGGCCGCCGAGTGAGTGGACTTGGGATCGAGCCCACTCGGCTGTCGAACAGCCAACTCAAGGGGGGGCGGCCATCGAGCTGGAATCGGCGACACATCGCAGACAGATCCGCGAGGGGCCCCCGATAGCGAATCCCAATGTTCCTGGGCGGGGTGGGCTAGCAGGCCCCTGTCGGCGATCAACGGGCGAGCGGGGGTCGAAACCTCCTCCCGGAGCCTATCCACCCCCCAGGAGAGCCCAGAATCGAATCGATAAGGCGGATCGGCTGGCGGAAAGAATCGGACCGACGGAGATCGGCAGCCAAGTCACGAGAAGTCGAATCGGCGGAAATTGGCAAGCCAATGAGGCCTTCATTGAGAAGCCGGAATGCGAATCGGAATCCGAAGTCGGGCCGAATCGGAGGCGGAATCGATCGAAATCGGAAAGTCGAAATGAGCCCTGACCCCCTGACGTTGCCCCGGCTAGTTTTGCTTCCAAACTACAAGGGGAGCCACGGCCCTCTCGCCAGCTCCTAAGCCCAGAGCCCACCAGCGACGGCGCCATCTCGCGGCGACAGGCAGCCCCGAGGACGGCCGTCAGCGTCGGCGCCCGAGGGACTGTTAGCTCCCACTCCTAACCCTAACGCCGCCATCTGGGGGGCGATCCTACTCTCGCCCCCCAGATGGCGGCGGACATGGTGTAATGCACCGGCACGCTCAACCCACCCACTGGATCGGCTGGAAGTGACCCAGCCACTGATGTCATCGAAGAGGAACGCAGATGAGCACCGCGAAAATGAAGGCACGTGGGACAGAGCACAGCGTGATGCTGTCAGCAAAAAAAGGAAAAGTGAGCCTTGCAATCCTCCGCGGCGAGAGCTGGAGAAGCCAGCGGAGAACCATCCGCGGGGGAGCGTCGGAGGCGAATTGGGCACCGTGGGAGGGGAAGGAACAGTTCCCCCCAAGGACACCTGCAGTCGGCAGCGCCAGCGGTCGCGGGCGCGTGGGGCGGGTCCGGCGGGGCGCGCCGCGCGCGGAGCACGCGGGCAGGCGGGAAAGCAGAGCACGGCGGCGCAGGAAGCAAGAAGGAGCCCCACCGCCGAGAGTCGGCGGGCGAGGGGCGCGCGGCGGCGGCCTCGGGCACCGCGGACGGGGCGCGGCAAAAGCCACCCACCGAGAACGCCGGACGCCTCGAAACAGTCGGGGCGGTCGGCGAGCACATCCACTGTCCGTGCCCTCGCGGCCCGGACTCTGCGGCGTGATCCCGTGGATGCGAGACAGCAAATGGCTGCGTCCCACGGAGGAACCGCCCCGCATCGGCCAAGGGGTCCGGCCCGCGAGGCCGTGGATGTGGATACGCTTACCGCCCACGAACCAAGGTGGTCGGCTTGCGGTACACCCTGCGAAATTCTTAAGAAATCATGGGTTAAGAAATTCCATAGTCTCAGAAATGGAATAAAAAGCCAGAACTTCTATCAAAATCTTGGGATTTACATTGAAACGTTAAGAATAATCGAGACTCTGGCCGAAAACTTACGTTTTCTTAAGCATCGCCTAAGGTGTAATATCTTGTGCCTTTGGTGGCCAGCCTCGGGCCTCGCGATGCCCTCGAAAGATGGCCCTGGACGGCCCGGGACGGGAGGCCCTATAGGGCAGGAGTTGAGGCCAGGTGCCAACGCATCGGTGACATCGGAGCGCCGAATGTCTGGGGCCAGCGGCGCCAGCGGTCCGACGTCTCGTAATTTTCAATTTTTGTCGCAGCGGTGGCGAGCGCACACCGCGTTCGAAGCGTGAGCGAGGCCACTGCCAGTGTGAGGCGCAACGTGAACAAAGCAATGTGGAAACGAGCTTTTCAGCACGGGGGCCCCTGTGAAGTCTCGACACCTGCCCCTGGGCGGGCTCCTCACCCTGCGCGACTGCTGACGGTCCCGGGGCACGGCGAGGGCGCTCGAGAGGGAGGAGGAGGAGGAGGAGGAGGAGGAGGAGGAGGAGGAGGAGGAGGAGGAGGAGGAGGAGGAGGAGGAGGAGGAGGAGGAGGAGGAGGAGGAGGAGGAGGAGAGGAGCTGAGAGCTATCGAAAAAGGCCTGTGCGCTGCCCGTGTCCGGCGGCGCCATCCGCACCCTGCCGCCACCATCCATCGAATTCCGCCACGTGCTCGAGGAATTCCGGACCCTACCCCCGACGCCCCTCGAGTTGCCGGAATCGTTGATCAGTGAGGGTACGGCTAGTTCGTGTCGTGACGACCCTGGCGTTGGTTTCTGACACCGCGTCGATCGTTCAATCTTGAACGATCGGCGGCTTTCCGATCACCCGATCGTTCCATGTAGTCCGATTCCGGGCCACTGGCGGCGTTGATCAGTGAGGGTAGTGATTATCGGGTCGGGCGAAAGGGGGGGATAGCAAAGGGGGGGGGTGAGAATCAGCTCACGTAGCTGATTTTCCCGGCGCCTCCCGGCGCCGGAGGCGGCTATGTATCGAGGAATGGGCCCCTCGGTGAGGCCGAAACCAGCTGCATGCAGCAAATTTCGTAACCCCCCCTTTCCCAATCCCCCCCTTTCGCCCGACCCGAGATTAGGGAGCGGACCCAAGTTAAAAAAAAAGGCCCAGAGCATGAGAGATTGGGAGGCTTCGAGCAGATGTATCGGACCAGACCACCGCAAGCAACTACCCCTGATGCAAGAATGGGGGCCAAAGTCAGGCTACGTCTTCATGATAATGTTAGAGTAGGCGCTCCTCTATTCTCGGTGAGGTAGGGCTCGGGTCTCGCCGCCGATGTGTTTCTCACGCCAGAGAGGTCTTTGGCGCCAGAATGCGGAGAGGCCGCGGGCCCAGCGGGACACCGATGAGCGACGCCGCGCGAGAGGCTGCATCATCTCCTGGCAGCTCTCGCCCAGAAGAGGGCTTGGTCGCTCGTGGTGCTCGTCCACACATCATGCAAGCCGTGCACAATCCGGGAGAGAGAACCAAGCACCAGGACCCAAGGGAAAAACAGAGAAAGAGAGAGAGAGAGAGAGAGACAGGGAGAGACAGAGCGAGAGAGAGAGCACGGCGCCTGACCTCTAACGGTCGAGGATGGGGTTGCCTCTGTGCACTGCACTTGCCAAGCAGGATCGTCCGTCATGGCCCTGGGGCCAAAGAGGGCATCCTTCTGAGAAGCCGGCGATGGCGCGCTGGCGACGCCGGCGAATGCGTTCAAGGTTGAATTCCGCATGATCGAACGACGCGGAAGCAATCGGGGGCACGGTAAAGCCACAGGATCCGACGGAGCGTTATCTTAAACGAGCGGGGCCGCGATCGGTTCAAGGTTGAACGATCGACGCGGTGTCAAACACTTTTGCGCGTGCCGACGTCGCACGACCCTACACTGCAATGGACCTAAGGCAAAAAAAAAACATCTTCCAAGGACACGGGACCGTCCGCCGGCCAAAGTGCACAGCACACCCAAAGGACAGGTTCCCCAGGATGCACCAGATCGTCCAGCAAGCACGAAGAGCAGTGGGGTGCCCTCTCCGAACCCCTTTCGACCTGATGCCTCGGTGCGACCGGAGGAGGAGGAGGAGGAGGAGGAGGAGGAGGAGGAGGAGGAGTAGGAGGAGGAGGAGGAGGAGGAAGAGGACAGGCGGCTGCCTCAACCCAGGCGCTCGTGGTCCATCTCGGCCTCCGGGGCCCGCCGTTGGGCCCCTGCCCCTCGAAGAGGGGCCTGGGGCGGCGAAAAGGCCTGCCCACGGGGGGAGGGGTCGGGACCTCTGGGGCCGCGCGCCGGATCCATCACGTCGCCGGCCAGGAGGGGCCCTGAGAGGGACCCTGGCCTCCTCCTCCTCCTCCTCCTCCTCCTCCTCCTCCGACGACGACGACGACGACGACGACGACGACGACGACGACGACGACCACGACTCCGACGACGACGACCACGACGACGACGACGACGACCACGACGACGACGACGACATGGCTGCCAAGTGCAAACATATCCCAGCAGGGTGGTCCTGACCTCCCAGACCCGTGACGTCGTGAGCTGCTCGCGGCGCGGGCTCCGGGAGATCTGCACAGCTGCCCCCCCTGAGGGCCGACAGTCAACTCCTGGCTGCTTCTTGCCACGGCCCAGGCCCGGCGTGGTCCCCCCGAGGCAGAAAATGCTCGCATATGGAGGGATGACGAAAACGGCCCTACCGTGGGTTACAAGTGCGTGGTCTGTAAACCTCCTGGGAACCCCCAGAGCCTCGAGCCGCCAGGACGCGGCACATCACGCATGGTTTACCCTCTCAGCCCACGGGAGTTTCAGCGCACAGCGCCTCGTAAATGTCTCGGTCCCCAGGGCCCGAAAGCGAGCAAGATCGCCCATTGCAGAAATCCGCCGACCCTGTCGCCTCCGTCGTCCCCTTTCCCTGCAGCTTCCTTCTCAAGCTCGTGAGCGCGAGAAAAATCTAGCAGTGTCGTAATCGAGTCGAAGGGAAGCCCCTTCCCTTTGATCCCTTCCCCAGGGGGGGGGGGTCCCGGGGGTGGTCCCGGGGCCCGGGGGGGGTGGGGGGGCAGATTCGTTTTTCCTCGGGCGGCCTAGAAACCTCGAAAACACTCCAAATGAGGTCCGAATGCCCAAGATGGCCCCCGAGACGGCCCAAGAGGGCCCACAGTCGCCCAAAGATCGGCCGAAAGCGCCCAAGATAGCCCCAAGACCGTCCAAGAAGCCTCCAAGACGTCCCAGGCCCCCTCCAAGAGACCCCCAGGAAGCCCCAAGAGGCCCCCACGAGGCTTCCAAGCGGCCCCTAAGAGCTTCCCAAGAGGCCCACAAACTACCCCCAAGAGGCCCCCAAGAGCGCTCGTCGTCGTCGTCGTCGTCGCCATTCAGGATCGGCGGCACCGGCGGTAAGGCCTTCGCAATAAGGAAATAGGTGCTAACTACACACCTGCACCGATCCTGGCCAGGCTCATCCTGGGCCCAGGATCGGTGTATATAGGCCCTCCTGGCTTGGGCAGGACGGCGGAAACACCAACCTGGGGCCCAGCATCGGCCTGGCTAAGATCGGTGTAGGTGTATAGGTGGTGCCCTTCGAACACAAACAAACACCGTGGGAGGTCACGACCGACGCCATGGAGACACCATTCTCCTGCGGCGTCTCTCGAGCAAAATCGATATGTGACGGCCCCAGGGCCCGAAACCGCGCAATAACGCCGTGTGCATAAAGCCGTGTGCATAACCCATCCATATCCCCACTGGCGTGGCCTGGTCCCCACTGGCTGATTTACCCCCCTACAGATGAAGGTATGGGCTGTCCCGTTCGACTCTCGAGGGGCCTGTTCCCAACTGGGGTGGTGGGATAGTAGGGCTGAGATATCATGGCCCAGTGGGCATGAGGATTGGTCAAATGATAGTAAGGATACGCGATAAAGATGAAAGTCCCTTGGACGCCCATGACGAAGCTTTTCGAGCGGGGCTCGCCATCGAAAGTGGTTCAGGGTGGAACGAGGAGGCACGGATGCAAGGGGTACCCCCTTGGGAAGCTTACCCAGCCTCGCCATCGGTCTCGACTGCAGGCCAAACGATACTGATTCTGGGCAGTCTGGCCTCGGCGCCCATGCCCAGTCCGACGCATGCCTGGGCGCGCTGTGGGCGGAAGGCGCCACGCCGCGGCCCCGCGGGCGGCAGAGGATGCGAGGGGGCGGTGCGGCCTGCGCGCCCTCCGGCAGCGCGGGGTCCGCGTCCTTGGAGGGGGGGGGGGGGGGATCGGGGCCTCCTGCCTCCAGGGGACCATCCTCCTCCCACCACGCTGCTCGGCCCCCTCCTCCCTCCTCCTCGCGCCACATCACTCCTCGCTGTTGGCTCATCGCTCTTCCCCCTCCTCCTCCTCCCTTCCTCCTCCTCCTCCTCCTCCTCCTCCTCCTCCTCCTCCTCCTCCTCCTGCTCTTCCATCTCCTGCTCCTCCTCCTGATCCTCCCTCCTCCCTCCTCCCCCCTCATCCCTCCTCCGTAGGCTCATTCTCTACTTTCTTGCGTGTGCACAACCCACCCTGTCGCACCACCAGACGTGTCTGTGGGCCGTGCCTGGCATTCCGCTCAGGACGTCCTGACAATCGACTGCACTGGGGCAGAACATAAACAGATACAGCGATGGAGGGCTAGTGGGTTCGAACATGCAACCCTCAGATTCCAACAATCACGCGGATGAAGGCCATTTCCAAAATGCGGCAATATCTTTGGCACGGAGAACATTTGATCAAACATTCCTGGCGGTTGCACAGTGGATGCCGGTTGATTTGAAGAATGCGGCTATCGCTTGAGACCTCCTCACGCTTTACGGCTAGAAGTTCGGAACTGTGCAACACTTGCAAGGATGGGTTCCTCCTCCTCCTCCTTCTCCACCTTCTCCTACTTCTCCTCCTCCTCCTTTCCTCCTCTTCCTCACATTACAAATCACAAGCCTCCTTTTCCTCCCCCTACGCTCCTCATCCCCGTCCCTCATTCCTCCTCCTCATCTCCTCCTCATCTCCTCCTCCTCCTCCTTCTTCTCCTCCTGCCTTATCCTCCTCTTCCTCCTCCTCCTCCTCCGTCTCCTTCTGCCTCCTCCTCCCTCCAGTCTCCTTTTTGGAAACTGTCCGCCTCTGATGGCCGTTCCAAGAGCCCCTGAGCAACCAAAGTATCCCAGTGCGACCCTACCTAGGAGTTGGAGGATCTAGGAAAGCAACATCTAACATCTATATGAAATTAAGCTAAGCTAAGATGAAGCTAAGCTAAGATGAAATACGATAAGCTAAGATGAGATAAGCAACGCTAAACTAAGGAACCGTCACTGGGGGAACCGCGGAGCGGATGCCGGGGGAACCGCCCGGGGCGTTTTCCACTGCCGGGGGAACCGCCCAGGGCGAAGAAAAAGGTGCATAAACATTATCCTGTACGTACGTGTGTGATATTACGTACGTATGTCTGCATGTATATATGTATGTATGCATGTATCGATGTATAGATGTATAGGTGTATAGGTGTATATGTATGTCTGTATGTATGTATGAATGTGTGTATGTTATCAGCTCATTTGCCTCGGCGTCCGCGCGTCAATTCATGCACCGGCTATGCAGCGCTGCGCTATGTTAAGTTAAACTAAGCTAAGCTAAGCTAAGCTAATCCTCTAAGCAGAGCCTAGGTAGGGTATTACACCCATGCTATGATATGCGATGCTGCGCTATGCTATGCTACGCTATGCTATGATATGCTGTGCTCTGCTATGCTAAAGCTCAGCGAAGATAAGATGAAGGTAAGCTAAGCTAAGCTAAACATGATATAAGATGAAGCTAAGCTAAGGTACGATGACATAAGCTAAGCTAAGATGAGATAAGCAATGCGAAGCTAAGGGAACGTCACTGGGGGAAGCGCGGGGCGGATGCCGGGGGAACCGCCCGGGGCGGGCCCCACTGCCCGGCCCTTTAAGCCTCCGAGTAAGAACCCTTCTAGGCAGAGCCTAGGTAGGGAACAAATGTTCGGTGTGAAAGCGAGTCCCAGGTGCAAGCCACGAGCACGGATCGACTCACTAGTGGGAAGTGACTCGGGCGGCCGCCTTCTCAATGATAGCTCGGCAGCCTAGGGAGGATTCAGGGAGGCTCCTCATCTTCCTCATCCGCCTCTCCTGCTCCTCATTCTCCACCGTCTCTTCCTCGCCCCTCCTCGCCCCTCCTAGCCTCTCCTCGCCGCTATTGCCTCCTCCTCTTCTCATCCTCGACCTCCTCTTCCGGCTCTTCTTCTTCCTCCTCCTCCTCCTCCTCCTCCTGCCGCAGCCCAAGCACCCGCCAAGCTTTGGAACGAGTTCCACTGGGGCAGGCGTGTCCTCCTCCTCCTCCTCCTTCTCCTCCTGGCCCGTCCTCGCGCCTAGCTCCTAGCTGCACGTACACCTCCTCCTCCTCCTCCTCCTCCTCGACTTCCTCTTCCTCCTCCTCTTGTTCCTCCTCCTCCTCCTCCTCCTCCTCCTCCTCAGACTACGGCGACGATGACGAGAACACGGAAGCACGAGAACGAGAAGGACAGATGAAGGGAAGGACGAGGACTAGGCGACGAGGACGACGACAACGAAAAAGGGGGAGAGGGCGAGGACGACGAGAGGAGGTCGAGAACGACGAGGACGACAGCGAAGGCGAGGTCGAAAACGACGAGGACGATAGCTAAGACGCCGATGGAGGCGAGGCCGAGGGCGACGAGGACGACGGCACGGACGAGGACCGCGACGGCCACGTCGGTGGCGGCGACGTGCAGGGCGCAGCGAGCGGGGCGAGGCGCCTCCACGTCACCCGCCGCGAGGGCGCCCCGCCTCCGGAGCGCGTCGCCCGCCTCTCGGGCGAGGTCGGCCACCGGAGCCGCGACGACAACCGTGCATCGTCGCCGTCGCCGTCGCCGTCGAAATCGCCGTCGCCGTCGCCGTCGTCGTCGCCGTCGTCGTCGTCGTCGTCGTCGTCGTCGCCGTCGCCGTCGTCGTCGTCGTCGTCGTCGCCGTCGCCGTCGCCGTCGCCGTCGCCGTCGCCGTCGCCGTCGTCGTCGCCGTCGCCTTCGACGTCGTCGTCGTCGTCGTCGTCGTCATTGTCGTGGTCGTGGTCGTGGTCGTGGTCGTGGTCGTCGTTTCCGCCGTCGTCGTCGTCGTCGTCATTGTCGTGGTCGTGGTCGTGGTCGTGGTCGTGGTCGTCGTCGTCGTCGTCGCCGTCGCCTTCGTTGTCGTCGTCGTCGTCGAAATCGTCGTCGTCGTCGTCGCCGCCGCCGCCGCCGCGGCCGTCGGGGACAAGGGCAGCAGGGAAGGACATGGGGAAGGAGGGAGGAGGGAGGACAGGGGGAGGGGCAAGGAGAGGGAGGGAAAAGGGAGGAACGACGAGGAGGGAGAAGGACCGGAGGGATCTCCCCGTCGCCGTCGCTGTCTCCGCCGCGACCGCCGTCGCTGTCTCCGCCAGCGTCGGAATCGCGCGCGGCGCCCCAAAACAGAACACTGGAGAAGCATTGCTGATGGCTATCCCGAAGCCCTGGGGGGGACCAACGGTGCCGAGGGGGGCACGCTGGGAGGGGATAGGGGAGGACAGGAGGAGGGACGAAGGGAGACGAAGGGAGGGCCGAACACGCAAGGAGGGAACCTGAATTTTCGAGGCCGCTCGTCCTTGGCACCCCATCCCCTAGGGCACCATCTTCGAAACGCACGCGGCAACGCCGCCCCCCCGCGCGCAGACGTTCGGCCATGCGCACCCTGTCTTCAGGCACTCGGCGACAATCGCGTCTCTGACGTTTCTGCACGCGCCCAAATACGCGCCCACCTGTGCCGAAAGCACCGCGCCTCCTCCGCGCGCGTCGCTCAGGAACCCCTTCTTGCGCCGTCTCGCTCGACGCGCCGCGGCCCTGTCCTTCCCCTGCCTTGCCCGCGCGCGACGCCCAGCAGAAAATTCCCACCCTTCGTTGAAGGACGGGGCGCGTCGCTTGCACTGACTGTCGGCCGCGCGCTTCGCCGCCGCAACTTGCGCCGCGTTCACGGGCGGACCCATTTCCCAGCAATGCTATTCGCACGCGCAACTGTAATGCGTGGCTTCAGTCGCCCGCATCCTGCGCAGCATGAGTAAACCGCTATTTGATTTCCAGCCAACCACTCCTACCGACACTGCTGGGGACGCGCCGTTGCAGCTACCCTTGTGTATATGGGCCCGCGCAAACAGCCCGTCACGGACCTCCTCTCTGCTCGCGATACGTCAAAAGAAATCCGAATATCTCGCGCAAAACTGCCGCGAGCCACGCCGTGCGCAGCAAAACTCTCGCACTGCGTCGCGTCGCCACCTCTGTGGGAACGAGCCAACAATGCTATGCGCTGCATCCGCTTGCCCCGCCGGCGCGCGCGGTTCTGTCGGATTCCCCTCCCTTCTGACACCGTGCGCCCACATGCCCCTGCAACCGCGCTCGGCCATCCTCAATGACTGCCCCCTCCGCGCAGCCTCGACCGATACTTCCGCTGGCCTCTCCCCGCCCAACGGACGGACCGCCCGCTCGCCGCAGGCCCCCTCGCCGAACTGCATCCTCCGTAAACCGCGCGCGGCCCGGCGCCGTTGCCTGATCCGCCGCGTCGTTCCACGCCGCTGCGCGCGGGCCGCGCTTTCTCCGCGCCCGCGCCCCCGCCCTCCTCCACCGATCCACCTTGGCGCACTCCCGTCGGCGAACGCCCCATCGCACCTTCTGCGCCCCGCGACCAATCCTGCCAGGGCCCTCGGGGAGCTGGACCGCTTCGCGAAACGAAGTGAGCTGGCGCAGACGCCGAAGGAACACCTGCGCGCGCAAATTGCGGCACTCTGCCGCTTCCAGCGCATCGATGTCGCCGCGCACTTCGCCCGCGCGACCCGAGCGCCCGCCCGCTGCCGAGGCGTCGAGCTGGGCGCGGCCGCGCGCTCGCAGCCTGGGCATTTCGGGCAACGCCACGCGCCCAGAACGCCGTCGAACGCAAGGCCCGCGACGACCTGGTAGCCGCCCGCGCCTGCCAACAAGCACCGAACCACAACTGCTCTGGGCTCCTCCGTCTCCGGGACAGGACCTTCCAGCGTCCCCGGCGGCGCGGCCACGCTGACGTCATTATCTGGTCCCGCTGTGCCCGCGTCTGCCTCGCGACCCCTGCCCCCGCCCCGCGCGGCCCCCCAGGCGGCGCGCCCGTCCGATGCGTCGGCGCGCCCCAGAGACGATTTCCAAAACCCGCCGTGCACTGGCCGTCGTCGCCCATGTGCCCCGCGGCGATTCACGGGGCCCTCCGTCTGCGATAACGACATTCCAACCGTAACCCCATTGCGTCTCGCCTGGTGACTTCGGGAGAAAACATAAACACTCCGAGACGGTTTGGGCGCCCGCGCCTCGTTCGCGCCCCTCAATATCACGCTCAATGGCGCCCACCCATGCCGCGAAATTCTTCGCTGGTAGGCCCAACGACTGCGCGTGTTTCGACTTTGAGAAATCTCCCCGGACGTGCGCGGCGGCCCCGGTGAAGAGATTCCCGTTTGCGCCGCGCAAAGCCTCGCGAATGCCGGCCGCTGCCCTGCCCGGCCCCACTGCGAACGCTGGCGCCCCGCGCCGCCGCCCCTCCGACGGGCCCGCAGGGCGCGCCGACGGGGAAAAAACTACAGACTGACAAGACAGACAGCAACACAAAACCCGAACTCCACTCGCGTCGAGCCTGCGACCCCGCGCGGCGCGCGCGATGCGCGACCGCGCGTCGAGTGCCACGCGATGCGCCGTTGGCCCGCGCCGACGCACTCTCCGCACGCTCAGGCCACGCCGCGCCACGAACAGCCCGAACACCTTGGCGCAACAAAGGCGCCAACGACGCCGTGCGAAGCAAAACTCTTGCACTGCGACCTGTCGCCCTCTCACTGGAATCGTGCCAGCGGTGCTTTGCGCTGCGGCCGCATTCCCGACTGGCGCACGTGGTTCTGTCGAAATCCCTTGTCCCTCTGCAGCCGCGCTCCCAGCTCTCTTGCAACCGCGCTCGGCCGTCCTCGATGGCTGCCCCCTCCGTTTAGCCTCAAGCAACACGTCCGTCGGCCTCTCCCCACCCCACGGGGCGGCCGCCCGCCCGCAAGCCCCCCCCCCGCTAGACTGCCACCCCGTCTACGCGCGCGGCCGGGCACCGTTGCCAGACCCGCCGCGTCGTCGCACGCGGGCCGCGCCATCCCCCCCGCCCGCCCCCCTTGCCGACCGATCCACGTTGGCGCACTGCTGTGGACAAGCAATTATCTTGTGATTCGTGTACTCCTTGACCAACCCTGCCAGAACTGCCTCAAGAAGCTGCGTCGCTTCGTGGCATGGAGCGCGCTGGCGCAGTCGCCGGATGAACGCCCGCCGGACGCCGGACGAACGCAACTGGCCCCCCCCCGCCGCCCCCCGCGCTTCGACGCTGCCGCGCGCCCAGCCCGCGCGGCCCGAACGCCCGCCCGCTGCCGAGGCGCTGCTGCCAGGCAAGCCTGCGCGCGCGCAGCCCAAGACTTCGGGGCAACATCGCCTGCCCAGAACGAATATGAAAACGGGGCCCACTCCGACCCGGTAGCCGTCACCGCCTGCCAACAGGCCCCGACCCAGGACTGCTCTGGGCCCCTCCGTCTCGTCTCCGGGACCACGACATCTTCCAGCGCCCCCGTCGACCCAGCCGCGTTGACGTCGTTATCGCGCCCGTTTGCTCCCGCGCCTGCCTCGCGACCCCCGCTCTCGCCCCGCGCGTCTCCCACGGCGGCCCCGGCGCCCTATGCGTCGGCGCGCCTCGGCCACGGTCTCCAGGACCAGCCTGGCAGTGGCCGTTGTCGCCCATGTGCCGCGTGGCGATGCACGGGGCTCTCCTTTCGCGATCGCGACTTTCGCACAGTGGCCCCATTGTGCCTTGCCTGGTGACTTCGTGGAGAACGACAGCACTTCGCCGGATGACTTCGTGGAAAACATGAATGTCCGTCTCCATTGGCGCCGTTTCCAGATCCACGCTCGCCGGCGCGTCGGCCGCCCTGCCCGCCCTCGCCGGCGCGCGCTCGCCTCCGCCCCCGCCGCGCGGGCGCCCGCGCTGCTCGCGCGTCGCCCGCCCGCGTGGCGCAGCGCAAAACTCTGCCGCTCGCTCGCCTCTGCGGCCGCCTCGCCGCTCGACGCCGCGCGCCGGCGCCCGCCCTACTGACTGCGGAGCGCCTGCGCATTGAACGCGCGCACTTCGCTCGCCAACGACTTCCCCGCGCGGGCGGCGCCCGTGATCCTGTCGCGCGCGGCCGCGCCAATGGGGTCTCGCGCCCGGTCGCGCTGCGTCGCGCCTGTCTGCGCCGCGAGCTCGCCCCGCGTCGCGCCGCGCGGTCGCGGGCGATGTCGGGCAGCGCGCCAACTGCGGCCACCTGTTCGGCCGTTCTTTCCGTCGCTTCCAAGTCGACGTCCGCGCGCGCCCCGCGGGCGCGCCCCCTCGCCATCTCGAAGATGCATTCAGCGACCCCCCGCAGAACGCTCGCCTAGCGAACGACGCCAACGAGGCTGAATCTTCGAGAGGATCTGGACGACAGCCCCCAGCGCATTGCGGACGCACGGCGCCGCAGATCCGCCCCCTGGCCGCCCCATCCACCTCGAACGGCCGAAGATCTCGCAATGCCACTTGCCGCGGAAACGCGGAACCCGCGGCGTCTCCGCGCGCCGCCAGACGTCCGTCGCGGAAGCCCGCGGCACCGTCAAACAACGCATCCGAATGCGAATTGCCCTCCTCCTCGCTCTGGAACTTCACCTCAACGACAGACAAACTTGCGTGCGGGCGATCTTGCGGGGGGGGGAACTGCCGCCACTCGCCGCCCCCTCGGCCCGATCGCCCCCGCGCCCGCGCGCCGTCGGCCGCCCGGCGCCGGGGGGGGGCGGCCCGCCCAAAGCGCGCCGCCCCCCGCTGCGCGCCCCCAGCTGCTCGATTGATCCCCGGGGCGACGCGACGAATCCACGTCGCCGCTCGTCGTCGGGGCCGCGACGGACCCATCGCTGAAGCTCGCCCCCCCCCCCCCCCCCGCCCCCCCCCCCCCGCGCGTCGCTCGAGGCCCTGCGCGCCGATCCCCGGCTCAGACCAGCGCTGCTGCATATCCACTGACCCATGGCAACGCGCGCGCGTGAAACGCATCGGCGACGCAACGCGCCCCAGCCCCGCTGCCGCGGCGCGCGCGTGCTCCGCCCGCGCGGGGGGGGGCGCCAGCAGCGACGCCCGGGCCCGAGCGGCGGGCGCTGCGATCTCACGGCGCTTTTGGCTCGCCGAAAAAAGCGCCCCGGCATTTTCGCGGCATTTTGAATTTCGGGCCCACGCGAGAAAGGCCGACTTCTCTCGGCGTTCTCAGGGGGGTTGTTTTCTACGGCCCGTCGCCATGGGAGATCATGGTTGAAGCGTTGTTTGTTGTCCAGTCAAGAACAGCCCCCCACCCCTCCCGCCGCCCCCCCCCCCGCCCCCGCCTTTCGCCGCCCGCCGCCCGCCCCGCCCCGCGCGCCGATGAACCGCGGCGCGGAGAGACGCCCCAGCGCAAGTCTGACGCCCGCGCGACATAGGCCCATGGGGCGCCGCGATCAGCCAGCAGCGACGGCCAGATAACCACGAGAGGATAACATCATAATAAGAATTCCGTCCCCCCGCGATGTTGAGATTTCTGCTGATGCGGCTCGATGCAACGGTTGGATGATGGCTATTTTCCACAAGTGGTTCGGGTTCGCCGTTCAATCCCAAAATGGGCGGCCCCGGTCCCCCGCCGTGCACCGTCGAGCCCAGCGCGTGTATAACCTGCATCGCAGGCGCCGCCGAGCCTCGAGACCGCTTGCAGCATCAACTTCTGCGGCGCCACGTCGGAGACCCCGAGCGCGCGGGGCAGGAAGGTCTGCGTCGGCAGGGCGCAGGCGTGGCCCCCATCGATTGACTGCGACTTCGAAACGGTCTTCCTGCATTGGAGCTCCGTCACCAAGCGAGTCCCATTCCGCCGATCGGAGGTAGTCGGCAAGCGGCCACCGATGTGCTTCTTGAGCCACCACTTGAGGACCGACCAGCGGTTCTCGACATGATTCGTCGTGAAACCGCGGTGGTTTTTGACCCCCCCCTGGACTGGGCGACGATCTCGTGCTTCAAATCCCTTTCCGACTCTCCATCCCGGTCCTTGATGTCCTTGATGGCTGCGACTGCGGCCTTCCACCCGTCCGCTGCGACGACCGTGCCCATGCGGAGGCCCAGAGTGTCGAAATAAATCACCGTCTCCTGATTACTGCAGAGGCGCCCGTCGAACGCGTCCTCTGGGTGCTGCAAGACGCGGAAGACGAAGTCCTCTGGGCTGCCCTGCACGACCGCACCCCACAGCAAAACCTTGTTCTTCTGGGGGCGGGTGCTTGGCGCGAGAAGATCTGACTATGGCCTTGTTCAGGAAGACCTCGTCGGCCTGTGCGATGACATTTGTTTGCTTCTTCTTAGAGATCGTCTTCTTCACGCCCATATTGCCCTTGGCGTTGGCCCGCTTCTCGAAGGCTTCGTGCAGCTTCGGGAAGGAAATCTCGTCGGCGATGTAAGACGCGGCAACATCCTGGAACTTCTCCATCCACGGGCCCACGACATTGCGCTGCCTGTCGAGCCCGCGCATGATCTTCGAACGCGGGCACTCCTGGGTCCACGCAACCACGCAATCGAATAATGGAAGCCAACTTGACGCCTTGACGTCCGCCAACAAGGTGCCCTCCGCCATGGAGATCTCAACGTCGCCGCACGCGTCGCAGCAGCTCGCGAGGTCGCGGCGAGGGCCCCGCCGCGCCCAGCGCGCCGCGCGATCAGACGTCCCAGACATGGTAAACTTAGAGCCGCACTCCTGGCAGCGCAACTCATTGGGAACCGCGCCGAAGTGCTGGACAAAGACCATCAGCGGCATCGCGGGGTCCTTCGGGCACGGCGACGTGACCTCGATGTTGGCGCACTTGGCACCGGCGAGGAACTCGTCCCTCCTGTCGAAATCCGATGCGTCGAGCGCCTCCTTGAAACTTGTGACGTTACTGCACGCGCGCGCCATGCCTGACGTCGCCGCAAGCGCCGCCGACGCGCGCCCTGCTGGCGCTCCCTCGCGCCAAAGCAACTGCAGTGCAAATGCGTCTCGGACAGCGGGGGCCTCAGTCGCCGCTGCGATGCCAGCTGCAAAACTCAGCGGCAGGGCGACGCGCGGGGGAAAGGGGCGATGACGACGACGACGACGAGAACGCGTTCAACCAGTCGGCTCACAAGCATAAAAGGACGTGTATACGTCGAGAAGAAAGGAATATGCGCAGGGCTCCGAAGCGCGAGCGCGAGGACACTGCACCTACCAACGCCACGTGAACGATATCACAAGCCTTGCTCTGCCATCAGAGGCGACAGCGACGACGATGACAACGGCGATCACGGCGGCGGCGACGATGGCGACGATTGGAACGACGAAGACGACGAATCCCCTAAGGGCTGGCAACGACGACGCAACGCGTGTCCGGGAGAGGCCACGCGGCACAAACATGGAGGTATAATCGCACATACATCAAGGAACCTTCGACGGACAACGCATTTTACCAGCGGCTCATCCGGGGCACGGCGGCGCGCGCCACCTCGGCGGCGCGCGGCCCCTCAAAAGCGCGAGCCGACAGCGGCAGCATTGCCAGCGGCGCCACCGCCATGGCCATCGGCACCTGCTGCTGCCTGCTGGCGGCCTTCATCCGCTTGCGCACGGTCGAATTCATATTGAAAGTCGACGTGTGTCGCGAACTCGCCCCAAGTCGAAGACGTCGCCCGCCGCGCCAGGGCGCTTGCGCGGGGGCGTTGCGAGGTCAAACCGCGCGCCTGAGTCAGCCAAGTTCTGCCTGAAAAGAAGGCCCGCTGCATCTGCGCGTAGATGGCGGCCTGCTCAGCCATGTCCTCGTCGCCGAGATCGCCCCCGCACCCCGAGGGGGCCCCGGCGCCGGCCCGTCGCTGGGCGCTCGCGGGGAGGCGACGGCAGATCCACCAGCGCGCCGCTATCCTTCCTGTCGCCATCGAAGAACTGCCGCTGCATCGCGTCGTAGAGCGCCTTCTGCTCGGCCGCGCACACGTCGATCCGCTCGCTGGCGCACCCTTTGGCAGCGGCTGCGGATGGCCTTGCCGGGCCGTTCGAGGAAGCCGCGCCGCCCCCTGGGCCGCCCTCTGGCGGGGGCACGACCTCTGGCTGAAACCTGCTCGCGGTCTGTCCGGAGAGCGAGGCCCCGCAGGTGGTCGACACCGGGGGCGCACGTGGGCCGCGCATCATGCGCATCGCGAAATTCAAGGACCGCTCAGTCTTCTCCATGGTGTCGGACAGGTAATTGTTCGGCGATGTCGGGTCTTTCTTGCGCTCGCCGAAGCACGCGCGTGCCTCGGGCGAGTACTTGAAGCGGTCGCGCTTTGACGTCTTCATGCGTGGGTGAGACGGCACGACGCCGCCCTCTGGAAACTCGTCGGGTGCCAAGGGGAAGCGCACGCGCGCGCCCATGTCTTCCTTCTCTACGATCTGCTTCAGGGAGGGCGACATGGGAGTCATAAGCTGCTGAAGCGCGGTCTCCACGGCTCTCCCTCGCTGCCACTCTGCCACCAACCGCTCCTCCAAAGCATTGCCGCAGCTGTTATTCGCGGCCTGGCGCGACGCACCTGGAATGAGCGCGCGGGGCCCCATCCAGCCCACAGGGTGGAATCCTCCTCGCTCGGGTTGAAGGGGGGCAACGCGGGCGCGCCCTGCTTGCGCAGGCCCCCGTCGTCGAACGCCGCTGGCAGCGCCCTCTCCGCGGGCTCGCCCCTGAAAATTTCAGACTGCTCGGCGGTCACGCGGGCAGACTCGATCGCGCCCCCCCCCCCCCCCCCCCCCCATCGACGCCGACCCCCGCGAGGGCGTCGATCCCGAGCATGGGCGTCTGGAACTCAGTGATCTTTCACGCCGTGGACTTCCCCGCCCTGGCCTCGCCGACCCAGAGCGCGCCGCTGCGGCGCAGCGGTGGCAAGCTCTGCGCGAGCACATCGCTAATGAACCACGGATCGAAGTCCTTCAGCGCGCGCGCCCAGACAGGGGGGCGCTCGGCGTTGATGCGGCCGCTCGAACGGTTCCGCAGCGCCTGGATCACGCGGGGCTCCTCCCAACCGTAGAGTTTCGACTGCGGCGCTGGTCGGCGGCCGCAGTCGTTCGGCGGCTGCGCGGCCCCCGCGGTCAAAGGCCGGGGTCGGGGAGCAGTCGGGCATGCCAGATGGCGCCGCTTTCCCCTGCCCTACTGCCCCTGTCCGCGAACTCCACGAACTGGTTGCGGTCGCTGCTCTTCGGGCCCTCGTTCTCGATGTAGCGACGTCCTTCCAGCTTCTTGCACTGCTCGGTCGAACGCTCGGTCGGCTTCGCCGCGGCGGTCAGCGTGGAAAAAAAAAAAAAAAAAAAAAACGAATCTGTAGGCCGCCGAGCTTCCCCCGGAGATAACATATCGCATTGCGTCATGCCCCGATACGGTTCCAACGCTGATGCGCGACGCACGCGCCGCGACGCACGGGCTCGCACGCGGCCATCTTCAGGCGCTGGCCCCCCGCAGGCCCAATCCCTCGAAGATGCGCGCCTTGCCCTCGCCAGCGCCCGCGACGAAAATCTGCGCGACGCGCGACCCGCAGGGCTCGGGCTCGAGGCTGAACGGACGAAGGGGGCCGCTGAAATTTGACTTCGTCGCAACGTCCTTGACCGCGCCCAAGCGGCACTGTTGCCCATGGGCGTCCTTGACTGTTCCCCCTTCGAGGCCCTGGGTCGCCGCGGAGCCCTGGCTCCTCAACGCGTTCCTTAAGGTGTCGGTCCAGGTGCCCGGGCGCGCGCTCATGGGCGCAGCGTGAAGATCTGCGACATTCGATAGCCCACCTGCCAAACGTGGCCGCGCGGTAGGCCAGACTGGAAGCGGGGCCCCACGCCGCCGGCGCGCGCGAGGGCTTCGCCGAAGTCGACGCTCTCGTCGCCGACGGCGCCCCCAAGAGTCTCGCGGAGAGCACTGGGCAGGATCGCGTTCACCCTCGACCGTGGCAGCCGAGAGAGAGAGTAGCGCAGGCGCGAAGGCCGCACGCAAAGGAACAACTCGAGCCGATCGAGCACTACGGAACTTGCTGCGCATCGCGCGCAGATGGAGTGGCGCTGCTTTCGGGAGCGGAAGTGGTAACCGCTTGTTTTGGCCACCAGCCGCCCCCTCATCCGATCGGCGTCATTATAGCCTGTCTCTTCTAAGCTGGGCTGAACTGTTCCGCGCGCTGCCGAACGGGGCATCGCATGTCGGGGCGCCCTCGCCATGACAGCACTGTTGCAAAGCCGCGAGAGGTGTCTCGGATAATGCGACCGCGTGGCCGGGAGGGGCATCCATACGCGGATGGCCCGGTCTGCCGAATCCAGGCACGGCGGAAGGATGAGCGAGCCAGACGTCCTGCAACAACTGACCAGACTCGAGGTCGAAGTGCGCCATGCCTGCTCGAGCGCGCGGCGTCTTCGTCGCCGTCGTCTGCACGTTTGTTGTTTTGTGTTTGCCCAAGTGTCTGACGGAATGGTGAGAACGCTGAAGGTGGCGCAGGAAGAATTCTGCTTCTCCCAAAAAAGAGGGAAAACAAAAAGAAAAATAGAAGATGCTGAGTCGCTTCAATAACCTCAGAATCGCGAGGGGCCGCAATCGAACCGAAACCGAAAAATCACACTGCAGGACGAGACGCACGGGCAATGAACAGAGGACGTGGTAGGCAGCATTTTTCGGCTGCGCGTAAGGAGTGACCCCGGGTAAGAGTGACCTTTGGCGCGCGGCTTTTCGGGGGCCGCGGCGGAACCAAACGCGGGCGCGCAAGACGCGCAAATTCTGCCTCGCGTTAGGCGACCCGGGGGCCCCAGTGGGCCCGCGTCAAAGATCACTCCGGCGACGGGTCACTCTTACGGGTAGTCGAATTTTTCAAGAACGCAATCAACGTATCACATATCGCTGGTCCAAACGCACAGACACAAATCGTTGGCTTATCGTTTTGAATTGTTTTGGTCGAAGCCTGCAAACGGGAAAACACGATCTCCAATGCGCCGGCGAAACAATCGGAACAAAACGGCCAAGGCATATAAAAGACGAACGAAACGCGCGCCGCCGCGACGCGGAGCAAGTCGCCCGCGCCCAACGGATGCGCCATTTCCGCCAAGTGCAGCACGATGTCACGGCGGCCCCGGCCGCCTGGTGCGCCCCACGGGCGCGCGATGCACATTCGGCAATTACACGAACCATGTCCTCCGCCAGCGCTTCCGACCATATTGGGCGTCTTACTCCCGCGGCACGAGCCGCCGCGAAGTGCGCCTGGGCCCTGTGCGGATCCGTCGGCGAAGCGTCAACTCCCGCTTGATAGAACGCCTGTGGCGCCGCGTCCACCGCGGGAACACTGTCGGCGCCGCCCCTCGCCACCTCCGCCCGTGCATGCGCCCGAAATCGCGAAAACCCTGCACCTGCCGCGCTGGCGCCGGGTCCGCGCCCCACCGCCGCGCCCGACATCAGCATTTCTCTCTGCTCGTCTTTCCCGACTCCCTCGGTCTGCGTCATCATCTCGCCCTGGGCGCTGCCCTCGCCCGCCGTTCCGTCGCCCGCCGCGGCCGCGCCGCCCCCGCCCCTCGCGCGTCCGCCCCAACGCTCGCCATTTATGCGCTTCGCCCCCTATACGCGCTACGCGCTCGCAGGACCCAGCGGCGCTGACGCCCTTCCCCAGCCACTCTGATTCGAACTCCCACGTTCGCATGCTTCTCCGCTTTCCCGCGGCGAGCTGCTAACGACGCCCGGCGTCCCCCGTGTCAGGCCACCGCTAATTGCATCCCACCCTTCGCCGCTGCCCAATGGCACGCCGCGGCCACACTCCATCCTGGCGCCCTCCCCGCCCGCGTCCTTTCCCCAACGCATCTGCGCGCGCGGCGTGTTCGCCGCCGCGTCGCAACCGTGGACGCCGCTCACCCCGCGATCGACCTCCGCACCCCCCGCCACGCGCGCGCAACCGCCGCCGGCGTTTACGCCCCCTTCTGCGCCAACGGCCCCGACGATCGACGGCGCGCCGCCCGCGGCACCTCCGCGCGAAGACGATCCCTTGGGCTCCCGCGCAAACACTGCGATGGCCACGTCAATGTGGTTCTTCGCGCAGCCAGCGAATGTTTCGAAGCCCGCTCGTACGACCTTGTCGTGGTCGAACCTGACAACGCCCACCTCATGGCGTTGTTTCCACCATTTGTCTCTCTGTCCCAGCTCTGTCATGTTCTAACCTTCTTGTCTCCCCACCACCTGTCCCCTCTCCTCATCCTTCTCCTCCTCCTCCTCCTCCTCCTTTTCATCCTCCTCCTCCTCCTTTTCATCCTCCTCCTCCTCCTTTTCATCCTCCTCCTCCTCCTCCTCCTCCTCCTCCTCCTCCTCCTCCTCCTCCTCCTCCTCCTCCTCCTCCTCCTCCTCCCTCTCATCGTTCTCATGGGTGGGTGAATTCACCATAGGAGGTCCGACCGTCCCTATGGAGTTCCATGGCAGCTGACGGCGAAGAAAACTCTGCGAGGGCCGCAGGTATCCCCAAGAATAAGGAGGTCGGCGGATTTGGCGTAATCGTCTAGAAACGGCGTCGCGACGTGACGTGCTGAGCGGCAGGTTTTTTTGTTTTTGTTCGGCGAGCGCCTCGATGCAATGTATCCAACGTACAATTAGCATAACCAGCTATTACATGTTGTATGACGGGCCAAGACGGCCCCATGACGGCCCCGAGGGGGTCCTAGAGGCCCCAAAGACGGCCCCAGAGGGCCCCAAGGGGACCCCAAGAACTCCTCCAGAGGCCAAAGACGATGAATGTCCCTTTTGGATGGATGTTCGCAGTATTGTGATGTTCTTCGGCTCTCGGGTTGCCATGACGGTCCAAGGAGCCTCCAAACTTTCCCGACCACGGCCCAAGAGGCCCCCAAGCGGGCACCAAGACGGCCGAAAGAGGACCCCAAAATGGACCAACGAGGCCGCCACGACGGCACAAGAGGGCCCCAAGAGAGCCCCAATGCGACCCCGAGAGGCCGCCCAAAGCCTCCCAATAGGCCTTCAAAAGACCCAAAGAGAGGCCCCCAAGGGGCCCCCTATGGACCCCAACGGGCCCCCGAAGGCCCCAAAGAAGCCCCCATACGGCCCCAAGAAACCACCAAGATGCCCGCGCAATTGGATACTACTAGCGCGTTGTTGCAATGCTCATCGGGATTTGAACTTGGCGTTGCCTTGTGCTGACCTTTCGTCAGCAGCGTCGCAAAGCTCAAACGCGTACAAAGGAAACCGGGGCGCGGAAACCACTTAATCGTCGGGGCGTGCCGTAGACGATGAATTGAAATGGAGGCGGCCGCGGAGGCAGAGGTGGACGGAACGTATGGAGAATCGAAGATGTCGACCTCTGGGGCTCAAGGAGGGCCTCAAGGCGGCTAACATTGCTACACGACGGCCCGCTGTGGCCCCAAGACGGCTAAAGATGGCCCGAAGACGAGCCGCTCCCAGCACAAGCGTTAACCGGGCACTTCCGTCCACCACCCGCGGGTGCGACTCGTAACGTGACGGGCTCCCTCCCCCCATCCCCCTGGTAACGCCCGTACTAGGGAATCGACAAGTTGTTTCCAGTAGTCCCCAAAAAAATCCCAGTAGCCGCAGAGCTCCACAAGAAGCTCCCGAAAAACTCACAGTCCGGACGTTCACCCCGCGAAGCGAGAGGAATCATCATCATCAGCATCAGCATCAGCATCAGCATCAGCATCATCATCATCATCATCATCATCATCATCATCATCAGCATCATCATCATCATCATCATCATCATCATCATCGTCATCAGCACCATCATCATGTCCATCGTGCTCATCATCATTCTCATAATCAACATCATCAACATCGGCATCAGCATCATCATCACCACGGCCATCACCATCACCATCACCAACACCATGATCATCAAGAAAATCATCATCAGGATGATGATGATGATGATGATCATCATCATCGGCATCATCGGCATCAGCATCAGTACCATAATTAACATCATGATCACCATCGCATAACCATGACCATCACCATCACCATTACCATTACCATCACCATGACCATCTCCATTATCATGACCATCACCATCACCATTACCATCACCACTTCAACAATCATCAAAAACCTCAGCATCACCACCACCATCACCACCATAATCATCAGCATCAGCATCATCATCATCAGTATCATCACAATCATCAACATAATCATCATACTCGTGAGCATTGACATCAGCCGCATCATCTTCGTAATCGGCAACATCACCAGCACCATTATCGCTATCAACATCACCAAAATTACCATCATCGTATCAGCATCGTCCACATCACAATCATAATCAGCAGCATCAGCATCAGCATCAGCATCAGCATCAGCATCAGCATCCGCATCAGCATCAGCATCAGCATCATCATCCTCACCGTCACCAGCACCAGTATTCTCATCATCCTCCTCATCCTCATCCTCATCCTCATCCTCATCCTCATCCTCATCATCATCATCAGTATCAACATCATCATCGTAATCATCGCCACCATCAGCATCATATCAGCAGCATCGTCATCATAAGCATCATCAACATCATCACCAACATGGTCATGATCATCCTGCGCCGCTCCAGTACGGCCCTTCAGCAGTGCAAGTTGGCTACATACATCCGTCGCAGGAGAGAGGATGAGAAACAGGGAGAGAAGCGATGCAGGAGCAACGCGGAGAGGAATGAACCATGGACTGCAGGGGGCCGACGGCGAGGATGACCAATAATACCGGCACGACGCGGAGGGGCGCGCCACGGGATGTCACACGCTACGGCGCCCTGTGCGTTCCTTGCACGGCTACCCAGACTGCAGGGCTTCGAGTCGGCCATCGACTACAGAATTGATTTACCCTAAAATCCCACCAGACATTTGGGCGACATATGGCCTAAGGGTGATCTCTTTTTGCTTCCACAACCCCTCTTCCCTTCGGGGAGGGGAACCCTCCCCCTCCCCTCCCTGCGGTTTTTGGGGAGGTTTCGCGAGGTGTCGGAGGCTCCTGTTTTGGCCAGTGGGAGGGCCAATAGATGACACCTCTCACGAGGATCGTGGCTCCCGAGGTGGGGACGAAGATCGAGGACCCCCCCTCTTCTGACCGACCGCCTCCAAGATGGCCCCAAGAGGCCCTCCAGGGCTACCAACAGGCCCCCAAGACGGTCCCACGAGCGCCCCATGAGGCCCTACGAGGGCTCCACGAGGCCCCCGAGAGGCCCCCAAGAGGCCCCCGAGCGGCATCAGAGAGCAAGGCCGCTCCAAGACGGCTCCTCCCTCCTCCTCCTCCTCCTCCTCCTCCTCCTCCTCCTCCTTCTCGTTCTCTTTTTCGCCCTTCCCCCCCCACGTGGGCCCGGAGATGGCACAAACACGCCGTCCAGGCCGGCCTTCCTCGCTGTTTGACTATGCGTGTCTGTTCCTCTCTCCCCCCGTCAGCTCTCATGGGCATCGGTTCTGGATGGGCTGGTGGAGATACGCTCTTTTTTTTTTTTGGTCGCGGCCGCGAGCGAAGAGCGCAGGCGGCGAACAGGGTGTCCGGGACGACGGGCAAACCTAATGCTGGTGGAGATACTTTTTTTGGTCGGCGGCTCCGATGCAACGGTCTCGAAGCGGAAGCGGCGTCCGGGTCGCGGTACGAGGCGAATTTGCAAACAAAGCCGCCAGTGTCGACGGACAATGCTCGCACCCGCAAGACAGCTGGTGGAGATATTTTTGAGATGCGGCCCGCAAGGAAGAGTCCAGAGGGCGTGTCAATGCTGGTGGAGATACGCCAAACGTCAAGGATTGATTTTGTCGTCGATTCTAGTGAATCTATATGGCATTACTTAGAAGCTTTCTACGTTTTCCTACATTCGACGAGAAAGCAAAGTTTGACGTGAACCAATTCTGTAGTCGATCCCCTTCTCGAGGGCTGGTACGACGGCGGACTCGCTGCAGGCAGCTGGATTAGAGGAGCGAAGAAGAGGCCATGCAAAAAAAACAGTACCAACAACTGCCTGAAGGATAGCTGGCCAAGCCCCGCCTCCTTCAGCACAAACTTCTCGGCGCAGCTGCGCAGCTGCCTCAAAGACTGGTCCTGCGAGCCCAGGCCGAAGAGGAGGATGTGACAAACACGGAAGCGCAACGGCGAAAGTCATGCCAACGAGTATTGCGACGATGGGAAGCATAGCCATCGGAATGCCTACGGACGGACGTACCAACAGCAATCGCAGTATCATCTGTGCTGGCAGCGGCCATCGACCCCAGCTGTCGACATCCCCCTGGCTGTGACATGGTTCCACATCCCCTGGAGTTTCGCAATCCCGTTACAGGGGGGCCATGAGCTTGTCAACTTGACAACGTACCCCTCAGGCTCTCCCCCCAGAAAGCCCCAAAGAGAGCCAATCGGCGACAACTACACGCAATCACGGCGACGAGAAGCGACACAAAATTAAGCAACACGTCTTGCCGACGGGGTCGGTTGATATACTTACGCCTCTTGCACCAACACCCGTCGGTCGGAAGAAGTGGGTCGAAACATGAAGTAGGAAAGCGTTGAAAGTAGATTGATCGCCCGCCCTTCCCCTGAAGACGGAAGAGGTAGCACCACTCGACTCGTAAAGTACTTCGGAAGGCGCCGAAAGTAGATTGGGACTGTGACTTGGGCATCAAAAAAACATACTTTCAGCGACCGACGGGTAACAGCAACACCGAGGGTAGAAATGACCATGCAACAATCTGGCGATGGATGCGTCGGCGAAGCCTGCGACGCGATAGGATCTGCTCCTCCTGCCAAACAGCCCCACGCCTGTCGGCGCCCCCCCCCCTCGCCTGGCAAATCCCGTCGGTGGCATATCGGGCCCGCCTGGGGGCCTTTCGGAGCCCTCCAGTGGACCTCGGGGGCATATCGTTCCCGCCTGGAAAACCACTTGAAGGACTCTTGGGGGGGCCTCGTGGGGTCCTCTTCGGAGTCTCTGCGGGCCTCTGGGACTCGCCAGGGCCCCTGGCTTGGAAGGCTCTGGGGGGTCTTTGGGCCCCCTTTCGAGCCTCTTGGGGCCTCGGGTGGCCTCTTGGGATACCATGGCGCCCAGGACGCTGGACACCGTGGTCCATCCTGGCCCGTTTTTCTGGGAGGATCCAGCCGTGGCGACGTGGAGCCTCCAGGTGGCCCACAAAGAGCGAACGACGCAGGGAGGGCCGCCATGGGCCGTCGTTGTCTCGACTGGCCCTCCTCCGAGTCTCACACCGCCCCCCCTCCTCCCCCCCCTCCTCCCCCCCCTCCTCAGAAATCGACGACGACGAGGAGAAGGGGAAGAAACGACGATGGCGATGGCGGCGACCAGGACTAACCGCGGGCGGTGCGACGAGCAAGGCGCGAAAAAAACGACGGCGACGGCGACGACGACGACGACGACGACGACGACAAGGACAAGGTCGATGGCGAAAACGACGCCGCTGACGATACCCGACAACCGCGTCCTCGAGCTCCCCGCGCAGCTGCCCTCGCACCTGCATGCGCGCTCGCAGCACCTCCTCGGGGAGCCCAGAGTGGTCGGCGCGAATGTCTTGACCGGCCCCAATGAACGGCAATACTTGTTATCTTGATACGGTTACCAAATATTCAGGAAATACCCCAGTCAATCCCCAAACAATAGTTACGCAGCGAATCATAGAAATTCCAACTGTTCCTGCCATTCCATCAAAATACAACACGCGTCGAATCAAACTGATATTCAGAGATCACGCGTGCGAGCTCGGGAGCTACCGAGAGAAGCCGATGACAGGGGGGGAGGGAAACCACGCTGGGGCGCATGGGAGAGGCGCAAGCGCGGCGGGGGGGAGGGGCGGAGGGCAGTCCGGGTGGAGGCCGACGAGGGGGATGGGGGGAGGGAGGGGCTGGACGACGGCGGGGAGGCTGGCTGAACGATCAAGGAGGCTGGCAGCCGAGGAGGAGGAGGAGGCGGAGGAGGGCCCCATCCATCCTCAGAATCCCCCTCCCCATCCACTCCGTCGTCCTCCACCTCCCTGCTTCTCTTCCGTGTGCCGATGGCGACCCGCGCCCCGCTTCCGCAGCGAGGGCGCGCGACGGCGGCGCCCAGGGGCCCAGACCGCCGGACCTCCCCGGCGAGTCTGAGGCGCCTCCATGGCCGCGCCGCCCGGATGCCGCAGGGGGCGCGCAGAGAAAGCTCCCGCGGGAAGCTCCTGCCAGGAACTGGAGAAGAGGCCGACGTTGCCACCGAAGGATGCGGCGGGAAAAGCATGGGTCGGGTCGGGCGAAAGGGGGGGATAGCAAAGGGGGGGTTTGAGAATCAGCTCACGTAGCTGATTCTCCCGGCGCCTCCCGGCGCCGGAGGCGCCCATGTATCGAGGAACGGGCCCCTCGGTGGGGCCGAAACCAGCTGCATGTAGCAGATTTCGTAACCCCCCCTTTCCCAATCCCCCCCTTTCGCCAGGCCCGAATGGGGCAAGAAGGGGGGTCAGAAACAAACTCAAACGCATTCAGCCTGCTGCGGCGGGTCGTGCCGCGACGACCCCAGCAGTGGTCCCCCGTGGTCCTTCGGGAACACGCGATGGGTGCCCCGGACGCGCCCGCTTCGCAACCCTGCGCCGCGCCGGCCGCCCAAACAGCACGCCCGCCTGCACCCCCGCGGGGGCACGTGGGGAGGATGCACCTGCCCGACACGCTGTTCGAATCGGCAGGCGCCGCCGCGCCGCCAGCTAAGCAAGCAGCCCCGCGCGGCGCCGCTCACACATCACGCCGCTCCAGGCCACGAGGTGGAGGAAAAGCCGAGGCGGCCAACGCCGCAGATCCGCCCGCCCCCGAGACCCGCGTGGAGCCGACAGCCCCTGCCGCGGAGCCCCCAGCCTCCCAGCGCGACGCGGCGGGCGCCGCCCCCGCTGCGACGCAACCTGCCCACGAGGGGGATAACGTGGATGGCGACGCTACCCAGGGGGCCAAGGTGGGCGGCGGCGCGACGCAACCCGCGTCTGAGGTTCCCCGGCTCCCGCCGAGGATCAGGCGCTGCCCAGCGCCGCCCACGCTTCAGCAGCGGCCGCCTCTCCGGCGCCGCCAGCGACGCTGGGGAGCGCCGCGGCGGGCGACGGCACCTGCCTGGAGGCCGAGCTGGCGGGCATTCTCGACGCAGCAGAGGCGGACGGCGTCGATGCCCCGCGCGAGGGCGAGACGCGGACCAGGCCACAGCGGACGCTTCGCTGAGGCAAGGCCAGAAGTGCCGCTGCAGGCGGCCATGCCCACTGCGGCGGCGGCGGGACAAGCGCGGCTGGCAGGGGCCGAAGAGCGAGCCAGCGCAAGCGCCGCCCGAATGGGTGCGTGTCCTTGCATGGGCGCCATGTGACGACCTATCGGCCCATGCTGGCGCGTTCTGCGACATAGACGGGCGCACGGCGGCCGCGCTGGAAATGGCGAGTTTTGACACCGCGGTGTTCGAGCCCGCGGGCGCCCGCGAACTCGCTGCCGCCCTCTCCGATAACGATGCCCCGGATCTCATAATAATGGGGGGGGTAACTTTGGGGGGGGGGGTCTCACGGGCCTCGTCTTTCAGATTGCTGGGGGGTCTCGATTTGGACCCTCACTTGCCTCCCACAGGGGGGGGTCTACTTCGGGTTGTCATGCAGATCGTTGGGGGGTCTGCAATTTTTCGACATCTGATGATGACTTGGGGGGGGGTCCGGCTCCACGCCAGTCGCCAGATCCCTGACGACGACGCCGACGCCGACGCCCACGACGCCCGCGACAGCGACGACCCCCGCGACGACGACGCCGACGCCGACGCCGACGACAACAAACCTGTCGATGACGAAGAGGACGGGGAGGACGACAACGACGAAGACAACGACCATCGTCATCGTCGCCGTCGTCGTCTTCATTGTCGTGGTCGTCGTTGACGACACCGGCGCCATTGTCGGCGCCGTTGTCGTCTTTCTGGGGGGGTCCAACAATTTGTGCGACAAAGCTTCTCTGCGGGGGGGGTCTAGATCGAAGCGTCAAACGATGCTTCTGGGGGGTCTGGATTTTGGCGCAACTGCGCCGCTCTTGGGGGGGGTCCAAAACGAGCCGTCAAACGCTTTTTGACCCCCCCACTATTGTGAGATGGAGAGTAATTACCGTGCCCACCACGCAGCCGTCGCCGCCGTCGCCGCCGTCCCCGACGGGCGTCTTGGCGGCGCGCCCACCACCCGCCGCCCGATCCGCGCAGCCGTTCTCGTGGCGCGGGCCAGTTCAGAGCAGCCACCGGGAGCTTGCAGTGGAAGGGCACTCAGACAGGTCCCGACATTTTGGCGGAGTTGAGTTTGTTGCCGAGCAAGACGGTGTCGTGCACGGTCGAGGACCTGATTAAGGTGAACAACCTGATCAGGCTGGCCAAGGAGTTTTCTGGACGGTGTCTTGAGTTGTTTCCTTTCAAGAGCGAGGACCAGCTAAATGTTGTTGGCTGGGGTGATGCGGCTTTCGCGAACAGGGTCGACGGGAAGTCCACCGAGGGCAGGATCATAGGAGTCGTGCCGTTGTCGTTCTTATCCGAAGAGGAGAGGGGTGTTTCTCTGATGAGCTGGCGAACAAGTAAGGTTGAACGAACGTGCATATCCCCTCCAGCGGCAGAAGTCTCGGCTACAGTCAACACTGAGGATGAGGTAATGTATGCAAGGTTTCTGATGTCCGAACTTTCTGGATGGCGACCCGATCTTCGAGAACCTTGAGCCCAGGTGAAAAAGACCCCAGGAGTTTTGGTAACCGATTCGAAGAACCTCTACGAGCGTTTGCGATTTCTTGAGAAGCTGGTGGGCGGAAAGAACTTCGAACTAGACTGGAACTGCTAGCGTTGAGAAATGGAATATCCGCCTGTGAATGTTTGGTGAGATGGGTTCATAGTGATGCTATGTTGGCGAATAGTTTAACCAAGGGCCACGAACGTTGGCAATTGGACCTGTTTTTCCGTAACGCCTGTCCCCGGGTATTAGTTTATGATCAGATGTTTGAATCGTCCAAGAAACGAAAAGGCCTCGGGATTTCAGCTGTAGAAAGCGTAGGAAATCTCGATTTCCGTCCGGATATCTGCGGTAATTTGCCTCAAGACTAGATAGCTGCCCGTTCGCCCAAGCTGCGGATTTCGAGCGAAAGTGTTTCAGGGTCGGTGTCGGTCTCCCGATCTGTTGCAGAATGCTTCAGGCTTCGCTCGATCCACAGCCTTTTTGGCTGCAGGCCTTTACCGAGGACAAGCAGGGCCCTAGGGTCTGGAGAGGCCCCACCTTTCCCTTTCTCATTCTACATCCATTCTGGACTGTGCTGTGCAGTGCTGCGCGAAACAGGGTCGAGGGACGCCGCGAGAGAGGAGACAGCTGGCGAGAGCGTGGCCGGCTGCGGGGTGGGGCAGAGCGCTGCGTGAGAAGCGTCGCTTCTCACCCCCTCCCTCGTCTCGCCTTCTCCTAGTTCCGACCGGCCGATGTCCTCAGCAGCGCCTCTGGATGGTCCGAGGAGAGCCCCTGGACGGTCTCAGCGATCCCAAGGCCTCCAGGGAGACCCAGGATGGTCCTCGCGGTCCTCGGAGAGGCCCTGGAATTCCTCGGGGGATTGTGAATTCTAAACACTCTGGGAGTCGGCGGTTTGGGACTGGGATTAGGGGTCACCGACTGCTCTGGGACCTGGTGATGTTGCTGGTCCGACATCTGCCCCAGTCTGGCGCTTTGACCGATTCTGAGACTTCAGGGCTCCCCGGGGAAGCCTCCCCAGAGGGCTCGATCGAGGAGAGTCCCAAGGAAGTGCCAGGGGGCTCCAGGAGAAGCCCTCAGCTTCCCAGAAGAGCTTGAGGGAGGGGCCGGGAAGATCCCAGGAGGCTCCTCGAACGGTCCCAGAAGGCCTGAGGATGGTCTCATGAGGGCTGCCTGGCCCACAGGTCCTCGGGATTGTCTCAGGAGAGCCTCAACATGGCCTCAGGAGACCACAGGATGGTTCCAAGAGAGCTTCAGGATGGTCTCCAGAAGGCCTCAGGAAGGTCCGCGAAGGGTCCCAGGAGGGCTCCGGGCCCCATGCAGACCCCCGAAGGTTAAGAACAAGTGCGAGAACGTGGAGGGAGAGGGAAGGAGAGAGGAGTAGGAGACACAGAGGCGATTCTGGCAGACGGCTGCACAAACACGTTCCAAGACGGGCCGGGAGTGCGCTACGAGAGCCCAAGACCGACCGATCTCATTCCACACTGCCTTCCGCTAGCTTCCCCACCTTTCGAGAACTCCCAGGCCGATCCCAAAGACTCCCTCCAAAGCCCCGAGAATGCTTCCGGAGACGACGCGCACCGACGGACCTGGCTCGCCCCGATCATTGGCCGACATGCCGCAGCAGTGGCAGTTCCCCCACCAGCCAGAGATCGCCTCCATCGCCATCCCTCCTTGCACCCCACCTGTGATTGTATGATCCTTGGCACGCGTGCCTCTTGTATCCATATCCACCGCCCGGTGGGTCTCCGAAAATCGATCCTCCAGGCAGCTGTTACGGATAACCCCCGCCTCGGACTGATTGCTCTTCGGCGAGGGCGCACCTCAGGCACGAACTTCCCGATCAACGCCTCGAGCAAAAGAGCTTACGTACCAACATGCGCAAGGTTGTACTCGGAGATGGAAGAAAAAACCCGTCTTACTGTGGGCGGCCCCTCCAGCGCCGCCCCTGGCCTTCTTCGCGCGCCAGTTTGAAAAGTCCAGCGCCGATCCCAGAAACCCTCGCGGACCTCAAACAGTTTACTGCAAACAGCGCGTCTGGGACCCCCTCCCAAAAAAAACGGTGCAGCAGCAGGTCCAGCATCAAGCCCCGCAAAAACAATCTTGTTTGACGAGGCCACTTAGACCCTCTACAGAAGTAGATCCCCCACATTTTTGCACTGGCAAAGACCAGCCGCACGCGTACTAGCCTGTTTGAAATAGTGACGGCCAGCGATGGAGACGCTATTCGACCCAGCTCCGCAGATCGCGGGGCAAGTCGTCGTCGTCACCCGGGTCGCTGGCAAACGGGAGGCCTTGAAATTCCTCCCACAAGGCCGAAACAGCCTGGGACACAGGAGGAGAGAAAAGCTCCTGCCCCGACCACCCCGCCCCCACGTCCGACCCACTCCCAACCCCAGAGGTCAGAGGGAGCGAGGGAA